TTTATTTTTCTTTTACTCCCCCAAAGAAGAAAAAAGACATTTTGGTTGAGCCTGTGGACGAAATGTCCAAACTCTCCTGCAGCGACTACAGGCTGAATATCTCCTGTTTCTGAACATGTGATGTGCTTTCCAACTCTCCCTGTCTCCCGATAAATAGCCAACTCTTGCAAAGTGTAAATAAATCTATATTTCCCGCTGAAAGTGGCTGTGTTGCTGCTAAGCTAAGCTAAGCAGTGATGTCTGACTCCAGCAGCAGGATGATGGTGAGTGCACCTTTCTTCATTTAACACTCTGAATATTTGATATAGTTCATGTTTTATTACATTATTATATGTTGTTTATGTTGCTTTTATTAAAACAAACACACAGCAATAACAGGACATACTTTTATTTATACATTAACATCTAAAAACATCCTGCAACACACATTTAAATATATCTGCTCATAGTTTATTCAGGTTTAATCTGTTTGAGCGCAGATTGAGCTGCAGTACTGTCTGTGCATTACACACAATATAAGAAAACATTTAGACATTTATTTGTTTGTTTTTCCAGTCATTTACAGAAATAGTTAGAAAGTTATTGGTCACTTTAAATGTAGCCTTTTATATTTTATATTTAAATATATACACTGAGTTACTGTATCTGCTCAGTAATCGGCACTTTAGCATCAGTGAAGTGTTGGTTAGTGTTCGTTATCACAGTGAAAAATAATGAGAGACACTATGTTGTTGTTCAGGACTGATCAACCCTTTATACGCTCAGAAATCTGCTGTTGCTCAACTGAAACTTCAGGAGATGTAAAGAAATCTCTGTCCTATAACGTTAAAGAAGTTGCCAAGTTTAGGTTTGTAAACAAGAAAGAACAGAATAGTTCAAATCTAAACTGGTGGAACAGAAAGTGATTGATTTTCTGAAGGAAACCTGAACATATTCACTTTTAATAAGTTAGAACCAGTGTTTTTGTAGCTCAAATGTCTAATTAATTAGTGAAAAACAAAGATTCTCAACTAGTTTGGCTCCGGATTAATGTTCATTCTGTTGGATGTGAAACATAAACATGAAAGAATCTGGTTTTCTTGTGTCAGACGTCTTCTGAACACCTGGCAGTCGGGCCTGCAGGGAAAGCGTCGTCGTCCTCGGTCGCGTCAGGAAATGGAAACTGGGACGGTGCAGGTGGGATGGACCAGATAACTGTGGTGAGAATAGATGACACACACATCGCAGAGGAGCAGGTGAAAGACGACGCTGCGGAGTACTACGAGGAGGAGTACTCGATTCCTGAGGAGGACGAGGAGGAGGTTGCGGCAGAGGAAGAGGAAGACGGTGTTTTTGTCATTGAGTATTCAAATCCCGAAGAGGAGGGAGAGAGCTACCAGTTCACGATGTCCGTGGACAGATCGCTCCCGGCCAAAAAGCCCGAAATTACACCTCCTGTGGTTGGAGTGAACGCCGGAGTGAACGCCGGAGTGAACGCCGGAGTGAACGCCAGAGCTCCTCTACCTGCCATGTCCAAACCGTCCAGGCCGCAGAGGCCGAGACACGAGGTGAGGCAGAAGAGGAAGCTGATAACGGAAGAGGAGGTGAAGAAGGAGGAGGTTGTGAGCAATAAATCCGTGTTGGAGCTCGGAGAGAACTACAGCGACGTGATGGAAGTGAATTCGGGCTCAGGTAATAGACTGGTGTGCTCGCTGTGCCCGCCGCCCGGCCGGCTCTTCAAGAGAGGCTCAGGTTTGGCCGTACACCTCAAACAAATGCACCACATGGTGGGGAAGAAGACGTTCTTCTGCACGACGTGCCAGCAGTCGGTTCGCACTCAGATCGAACTGGACGCGCACACGCGACGCCACGCCAACCAGGACGCCGTGTTCACCTGCTTCCTCTGCGAGGCGGAGAAGACGGGGTTCAGGGGGCCGAGGTGGGGGCTGAAGAGACACCTGGAGAAGGAGCACCCGGGCGTCGTCCCCCGCTGCGACGTCTGCAACAAAGGCTTCAAATCGCTGGCGTCGTACCTGGCCGATCAGTTCAGGCACGTGGGCGTGTCGCCCTACTACTGCGCCAGGTGTCAGATCTACGAGATGACCGAGAGGGGTCTGACCATTCACATCAAAAACCACGACAAGAAGAAGAAGAAGCAGGAGTCAGGGGAAAACCTCCAGCAGACGTTGGGAGTCTCCGCCGTCGCTGATAACTCCGCCACAGACGACTCCGACTTCTGACACGTCTCTGAGTGTTTGACGTTAAAGCAGCTGCAGCTCAGTGACCTCTGTTCCACGTTTATGCATCTTTGACTGAACTGAACTTTAGACACAGTTATTCGGGTTTTCTTGACAGGTATCACATTAAGGAAACTCAGGCTTCAGAACTCGTACGATGTGGTCGCGTCTTCAACCTGCAGCCTCCATCAGTGTCACGTGTACAGTAAATCCAGTTGTGGTTACTGTGGCCTCAGTTGGGAATTAAAGGAAAATTACATTTTTTCACAACCTGGGTCTTGTTTTTGTACGTTTGGCCATCGTTGGAGATGGTAATTTATTTTCTCCAGCTTCATTTAGGAGGATTAATTTGACACTTTGGGACATATGCCCACTCGCCCTGTTAGACCTGGTATTAACATGTCTGACTGATCCAGTTAATGCAGAGCTCTAATCAGTTCACAGCTCCACCTGCGTCTCGAGTGACCACTTGTGACCAGATCTCACTTCCCCACTCTGTATGCACATACACACAATAGGCTGTACCTCGCTCTAAAGAAAGCAACGAATTAATGTAGAACGTCTGCCGAATTTACAAGAAGGCCCAAATACTTAAGAATTAGTCACTGACAGTGTTTAACAAAGGGGATCCGTTTTCTCCTCACTCAACAACAACCAAAATAAGACATTTTTTAAGGGAGTCAGGGGAAATTGTTCTGTAGTAGTACAGTACAGTAGTACTGAGGCTGGTCTAGGTTAAAGAGCGCAAACATATCATAAGTTACAGTGAAGCAAATGGAAATCAGCGTGTTTCATGTGTACTTACAGGACGTCAGTGGAGTAGACGGGCCTTCAGTGCGGCCCAGGACACATAGTGTACTATCTGACAGGCTGTTCTTATGCAGTATACTGGATTAAAGATCACTAATTGTCACAATATGTCTTGTTTGTTTAATCCATACAATAACTGTAAAAACAATAAGTCGCTGTTTTACAGGGACAGAAAGTCAAGCCCAAGAAATAGTCCGACACAAAACCGCCCTAAAACCACAATGTGTTGTCCTCACACTCAAATGAACTAAAATAAATGATAATGTGATATAATGGTGAGCTTTAGAGGTTTTTGTTACCTATAGAGAGAGCCAGGCTAACTGTTTCCCCCTGCTTACAGTCTGACTGAAGCTTTATAATTCAGTATTCTCATTCAACACGGCAAGAACGCGAATGAGCATATTTCCCAAAATGTTGAGTTATTCCTTTTAAGAGATCTTGTCACAGGGAGTCGGGTCGGTTTGTCTAAAGAACATCAACAACTAGTCTGAAAAGTGAAGTTAAAGGATCAAACATGAAATATTACGGAGCACTGGTGTGAACATTTATCTTTAATCTCTTCAGTAAAGTCTATAACTGATAGAAATAATCACAAAAACAATGGTGCTGTAACTGACACTTATTTTATCTGGTTTATTCATCATTAAAATGTCAGAAAATAGAGACAAATGCCTGTTAAAGTGTCCTGTGATGTCTGAAAACCCAAAGATATTCAGTTTATAATGAGATAAAACGAGCTGTAATAGAAATAAGACCCAGGTTGTGCATCAGTCGACCCCTCAGCCCTCCACAGTGTTGATGCTGTTTGTTCTTCATTAGTGTCTGAGTCGGTGCATGTGTGTGTAGATACTGTATATTCTGTATTACTCACCAGTTATTCCAGTTACAGTAGAAGAAAGTGAATCTGTTTTCATCCTGCAGCTTCACTCAGAGTTCAAACCTTTTATTCTCTTCCTGTCCACAGCTTCTCTGAGTGTGATCAGCCTCAGTGGACGCTAAAGTAACTCATGTAAAGGACCAACGCCAGTATTCTTTCATGTTTTACTTCAAATCGTGTTCTTTGCTTTACAGCTGACATTTTTCAAAACAGGTTTCCAGGTTAATAAATGAGTTTTTCTTTCATATTTTTGGTGGGAAATCAATCACAGTGAATCCTTGTTTATCTCACTTTTTTTGTCAAAGTTGGATGATAGTTAAAGGTTTTATATATATACATTCATTTGCCATTAAATGTCACACTAGACATCTCAGACCAGAACTATGGGCACTACTCTGAGCAGACTAAACAATAATTTTACACACTTAAAACTCAACAAAACCGTCTTTATTAGTCTTTCCACTGAATAAATCCTTATTTCACTGATAGAAAAACAGTATTTTCAGTGGCTCTCCTCAGCAGATAGTTGTTTGCGGCTATATTAATGTTTTAAATCTCACATATAACCTTTTAACAGTAACGTAGCTGAAAGATCTGCTGCTGTGGTGCATTCATGGTCCTGTGAGAAGATCTGACAAATGAGACCTCAGTCATCTGGAGTTTTCAAAGGAACACAACTATGAAAATGAAGCCTTTTATCAGCACATGTTCACTAAAAAACCTAAAAGGATTTCTGAATTAGTCAGCACACAATGACACCACTTTAAATGTAAGAAATAAAAACAAATATTACCACTAACAAAAATGTTTCTGCCAGCTGATTTCATAGAAATATACTAAAAAACATTTCTGCCTTGTAGGAAGTAAAATAATGTGATTGGTAGTAAATGGATAGAAAGTGTAATAACACAGTATGATCCAGGTTATTGTTTCCCTCTAAAATAAAGACTGCGTGCATTTAAATGTCCTAATTATACAGAAAAAAAGGCCTTTTAACAGAAACTCTAAATTACGTTTTTGAGATTAAAAGTGTTGAAACTTCTGGAGTTTGTTCAGTCGTCCTGAGGAAGTCAAAGTGCACAGAGAAATCTAAAGTTGACCTTCAATTCAATGACAACTGGGTGAAATCCATCTACTGATGAAAGTCATGTGATATGATCGAAAGCTCCAGAACAGCTACTAAAGAAAATAAAATGTGATCCTGATGTAGAAAATGTACTCACACAAACATTAAATAATCCTTTAACTAATAAATTAACAAACTACATTAAAGATATTTTTATAATCTTTAATTATCATGTAAGTCTTTTACGACGTAACAGCACAAACGTTTGAAAATGTAACTTTTTTCTTTGTTTTTTAACCATAAAACTAACAGATAGATGAATTCATGAATGAAAATAAATGTTCCAACAACCCAGTTTATTTACATTATTTATACATGTTTTACTGTGGTTATAAGCAGTGAAATAAGTATCCACTATTTCACAAGAAAAACACAAAAATTACATCAAAGTAGTTTTGTGTGTTTTTATCCCTTAAATCAATCTTATTTGAATTTGGACCCCATTAATCGGGGCCCTTAACCTCAGATTTAAAACCACTAAGGTAGCGCCTGTGGACTTTAGTCTCTTTCCCTCACTGATTATGTTTATCACTGAAATTTGCATCATTTGAACAGTTAAATACAATTAAAATGATAATTATGGAACCTGTTTTAGCCCAAATATGGATTTAAAACCCACTAATTATTTATATTATTTTATTATATTGAGCTGGTTTGTGTTGCAATCAAGTCTTTTTTTATTCAACAATCAGAATAAAACATGAATCATAAATATTCTGCTTTTGGAGGATGAAACGAGTATTAAAGGAGCTGAAATCGTTAAAATATGGACTGCGTTTGGTGCACAAACACTGAGAGGAACTGCAACAGTCTGTTTGTATTAAACATTTTAAAGTGAATATGTTTTTTATTTTTTTTAAATGAAAATTTCTGTTTTTTATTCTTTGCTGTAACATTTGTTGGCAACATCCTTGTGACTTTTTTAATTTTCTGACATTAAAGGGAATCACCACTGATTGTTTCTTGTACTTTTCTCTCTGTGAAACCTGCAAAACGTTCACAAGCTGATGTTTAATTAGTT